ATATATAAAATATTGAAAGCAACTTCATCCAAAAAATTAAATGAATCGCTTATTACAGAAACCCCATAAATGACAGAATTTGTTGATCACCTTTTTTTTTTATTTTCTTGTATTCTATTAGTAAACGCATCGATTTAGGCAGAAACTCCATATGTGCGTCTTATTTATACGGCTAATCGCGTCTTTGGAATAATTTGTTTAGAGCAGAAACCCTACAAGTGACATCGCATAGGGGATTTCTGCACTAAAATAATTATATTATAGTTTTTCTTCAAATACAATTTATTTATAGATAATTTAATGCATTAGTAGTTGTAATAATCCAGTCTTTAAGCATGTGCGCTGATTATACTTATTTACGTGTACGATAGAAACTACAAAATATTGCGCGTTTGCTGTTGTTATGCATTACTGTGGCAGTATTTAGACAATATCAGTGTGACATATTTAATATTAATTTAGCTGTTTAGTTTGTTTGTTATTTTTTTTCATTTACTATGTCTTAAAATGTCGAGTGAATATAAATCTAATGAAGAAATTCCAAATAAAAGAAGAAAAGGCGTTGTCCGTCCAGAAACTTACAAACGAAATATCATTAAGGAATCCCGAATTCACGAAAAGGAATACATAATTATAAAGGTAAGACAATTTATCAAAAAACTCCTCCTTATGAAATAAAATGCAAATGCCCTGCTAAACGTTTTAAGCTTATCACAAAGGAAGTGTTGAGTGATATTTGGACAAAATTTTAAAAGTCGTAATGAGATAAACAATATGGCCGTAGATGAGATAGATGACGAGGAATTGGAGTATGGTGATCAGAACGTTAAAAACAATTTTAAACGACAGAACTCTTTTGTTTATAAACTTTGAGTCAATGGTGAGTTTTTCACGGTTTGTAAGAATATGTTTATCGCTATACATGGTGTCATAGCAGATCGAGTTCATAGACTTTCTTTCCTTCTTTTAAATAATAAAATGCCAGAAGACAAATGCGGAAAAAATATTAGTGGAAACGCAATCCCAGGTGACATTTGTGTTGAAATTCATCAACACATCAATCGATTTAATTGTAAAAATACCCATTATGGGGAAAACCTAAAAAATATTTTGATCTACGATTGAATATCGTAAAAATGCATCAAATATTTGTAAACGATTATCCGGATTTAGCAGTCAAAGTGAAACATAACTTTTATTATAAATATTTCAAAGAAAATTTTGATTATACCTTTGGTCGACCACAAGTAGATGTATGCATACAGTGCGAAAGTTTAAGTACAAAAATAAGAGATCCACCTTTAAGTGACAGTGCTAAACGAGGTGCAGCTGGTGAGCTTATATTACACAAAAGGAAAGCAAAAAAAAATTTATACCGAGTTAAATACTGCCAAAGAAAACAAAGATGATGATACAGTCATTTTATGTTTTGACTACATGTCAAATTTACCCTTACCAAACATACCTGTTCAAGAGGTGTTTTATATGCATCAGTTATGGGTAAATATTTTTTGTATACATGAGGTAAAAACAAATCAGGCAAAAATGTTTATGTACTACGAAGGAGAAGCTAAGAAGTCTTCGAATGAGGTTTGTTCTTTTCTTCTACATTATTTTAAAAACTGTATCCTTGTCAACACAAAGAATAGTGATGGGGCAACTAGGCAGAACAAAATCCATACAGTGGTGAGGTTCCTTATGAAATTGTGCGATCGAGGAAAGTTTGAGACCATCGCTCATTTTTTTCCAGTTTGCGGCCACTCGTTTTTGTCATGTGATAGGGATTTTTGTTCCATAAAAAAACTTTTAAGAAAAACAGATCGTATTTTTACACCACAGCAATACGCTCAACTTATCATAGCTCTCTGAACGTAGATTATTTACAATGAACTACGGATCAATCATTTACAGCCTCGCCAACCAAAATACCCTAACAATACTCAACACTGTACAAAATGCTCAGAATGTCCATCGGAGCTCTCAAATCAAGTCCAGTTGACAGTTAGCTGTGCGAAGCCCAGCTAGACTACTAACTGTCTACCACTTTATATCAGATAAAAATACCTAATTACACAATATGCCGTTAAAAAGATGTCTATTCTTTAAACAGACATAATAAAAATAATCTCAAATCTCTATCACGACCACCTAAAACCTCCTTATGTAAAGCTTCACGACATCCTTAAATAGATATCTTTCAACATCAGCAACATAAAATCAATAGAAACGATCTCAACAATCCTTCCATAGAACACGAACCACATAGAAGCCAATACAAACCTTATCCAATTCAACAAAAATGACACACCTCATAATTTGATCATCAATACTTTCTACTAAATAATATACTCTGAATTCAAAAACTACTACCACTTCTATACATACGCCTCCAAAACAACAAATGAAATCGGTTTTCAAACATATACATTGCAGAAACTTTTGCCATACTTGAAGCTATATTAATCACACTATCCTCCAATTACGATTAAGTCCTCATCTTGAGTGACTATAAGCGCAATCACCTCAATAGCCAACATACATACAAAATGCAACCTCGCCCGAAGTATTCAAAACATAATTCTCTCAACCAACTCACAACAACCTTACATTCTCCTGTGTCCATAATTTATCACCTACTTGGGTGTGCCTTCTCTCGAACCATTTATTTAAGAGTGTAACCCAATAACCTACTTTTTCCTGACAAAATAACCATCGGTTCGTCCTTATCCGGGAAGTAAAGTAGACTCGAGTAACTTTCGGTATTTGCCAAAAACTTATAGAGACAGAGGAATTTCTAGGAACGGTTGTAATCAACGACCCCATCGGATATACCCAGTATATTTTGTACACTTTTTTTTTATAGCTTTAAGTAACAACTAATATAGCTTGACAATTATATATATAAAAAAAATTACAATTTAAATTAAATTAAAGAACATGGATATTAAATACTAAAGCCAGCATACAAAATTAATTTAATAATATTTTTAATAGTGAAGATGCAATTAGTATTAAGAATAGAGTGGAGATTAAAAGGACAATTAAAATATCTAAGGGAATTAATTAAGATTAGACGTTCGGATATCAAAGCAGGACAATCAAATAATATATGAGATAGATCGCTAGTACAAGAAGAAGATGAAGATGAAGTGTACAAAAAGGAGAGTCGTTTAAACCAAGTTTGAACGAAAGATTAGGTAATAAAGAATAACTTATGCGTAATCTGTTAAATTGTATAATATGTGATCTATGCAGATCTAATTTCCTGAACCAGATATTTTTAGGAATATTAGGTTTAATGCTCCTATATTTTGAGGCAAAGTTTGCAGGTAAGTTATTCCAATATGAAGACCATAGATTAGATATATAACGTTTTATAAAAGGAGTAAAGTCAGAGTGAGGTAGTTGAGTAAGAAATGGAAAGATAATGTTAGACGTGATTCTGGCAATGTTGTCAGCAATCTCGTTACCGTAAATGCCAATATGACTGGGGATCCATATGAAGTGTATTGTGTAATTTAAAAAATTAAGATTGAAAATAAGTGATTTTATACGAAGAACAAGTGGGGATAGTTGAGAGTGTAAAGAGTTGGAATTTAGGGCTTGAAGGCATGATATAGAGTCGGAAGCAATTAGATATTTGTTTGGAGTAAAGTTTAAAATGAGTTTTAGGGCTTCGATGATGGCGTAGCACTTAGCTGTAAAAGAAGAAGACAAAGAGGGAAGATTATTTGTAAAAGAAACATGTAACTCTTGAATATAAAAAGCATAGCCAGTGGAAAGAGAAGAGACAGAACCATCGGACTTAATATATGCATATATTGTATATTTAGTGTAAAAATATAACAAGAAAATATGAGAATAAAACGCACTTATTGCAGGAATGTAGTCGACGCCACGGAACATATTATAGAAGACATAGATCCAATGTTAATAAATGGAGAATGGAAACTAAATATATCAAATGTAAGAAATATATTTAATACATTTCCAAAAATATTTTTAGATAAACTAGGACTTGAAGCTGAAGAAAACGTAGATAAAACATAATTACAAGAAGACACTATACCCAAATTCTTACCAGAAACACTGAAAAATTAAATAGAATGAGTTTCAAAAACTAAGAAAAATACTATTAGTTAAGCTAAGTACAGTGATTGAAGCGTAAATATATTGTTAATAATTGAACCAATAGGAGAAATTAAAATAAATCACCATTAAAAAATTTAACTGTAAACTATTTAAAAAAATCCTTTTATAAAGATAGGGAATCCCAGTTCCAAGCTTAGAAGAATTAAATCAAAACAGAAGCTTTCAATTTAAGATCTAAACCAAGCATATTTAAATTCTAATAAGAAGTCAAAAGAATTAACTACCATTGGCACTCAAAATGATGTCAAAAAGAGTTTCATTTCTCATAAATTTATCATTAGGAATATTTCAAACTAGATTCAATAAATAGCTTACACAAAAAAAAAACATCAAAGTATACATTAAAGAAACATTTGTACATAAAGGTAGTGAAAAAGAACATTTATAGGCCTTTCATAAGTATTATTACTACTATACAAAATGCATATAACTGTAAGCAAAGATAAATGCATTTTATAAAATTTTAAAAAGTAAGCTAGAATAACATAGCATTTGCATCTAAGGTATTTAACATGGCGAAAAAACATTAGAGCCAAGTGAACAAAAAGGCTTTAACAATATAAGGCTTCTTTTTTGTTACAAATTTACTATACAGTATAATTCCATACTAATCATGATAAGCGAAATTTGGAAAGCATATTAGTTACATTTTTACCAAACAAATATTTTATACAATTGAAGACAAAGAAATCATAACAGTAAAAACGGATTGATCTGAAATAGAATACTAATAATTTAAATTATAATCTAAATTTAAGATATAAATTAAATTATAATTATCAAAAAATTAATTATTTAATAAAAAAATGGTCACAATTTGTTCATCTTAGATTAAACAAAGCCTATTTTATTAAATTTTTTTTTCATTAACTTCATTATTTTAAGTAAGCACCTATAAATTTTTTTTATCTCCAAAATGAATAATGCCAATACATTACTTACTGACACATTCACATTTATTATTATATTGATCAGTTTTCAAAAGATTATGCAATATTCATCGTTCTATGAAAGATCTTACAAAATCATTAACAACAAATATTATAAAATAATTTCATAATGATTGTGTAAATCTAAACCAAGGTTTGAACGTACAATATTTCACTACCTATGCACTCAAATCCAATCACAGTTAGACAATAATAAATAAAAATACGGTAAAAAAATTAATTTAATATTGAGTATTAATCATGCTATTGTTATTAAGATCACTTGAGAATTGATTTATCTGATTTTTTTTGACACATAATAACAGTAGCATAAATTATTTTTAGTCTTCGCTCAAGTGCGTGATAATGCGGTAGAGTAAGAAGAGATAAGGTCTCATGTATGTCCAACATACTTTGTAATATATTTGTGAACGTTCCGCCTTTAATTGATTTAAGTCGTTCCCATGTCTTTAAACGGATTCTGATTATAAAATTAAACAAACATAATGAATAGTAAACACGTGTGGGTGGGTGAGGGAGGGGTATGTATTTGGGTGAGTATGTATGGGGGAGTGATTAATATAAATATAAATATTCTTTAGCTTAATTGTATTATCGTAATAGATTTAAATACTTACAGTAATACAGTATATTACATAATTATACTTACATACAACATTGATAAAGTGGAGCCAGTATGTCAATGTGATCTTTGTAAGGATTCCCAAAACTGTTACAAACATTTTTTAATGTTATTATTTAATACCATGTATGATAATCAATATCCAGCAACAAAAGCTTTTATGTATTTTTAAATCATTAAACGTAAAAATAGTTTTTAACATAAAATTTTAGATAATAAATACTTTAATTTGTAGTCATTTCAATCACTGTAAAAAGTTAGAAACAGATGATTTAGAAATATTCATTATAAGTTCTTCATACCTTTTTCCATTATCTATTAGAAGAATAGTATTATTAAATTGTTCCACAACTTCGTATCTATGTCGATCTCCGTTTCCGATTATAAAGTCAAAAATAGATACGTCAACAAAATCTAAGATTCTTTCAGAGTTATAATTAGATTTGATAGTATCACAGTAATCATTATCGTCTTCCCATCTAAAACAAATGATAAGATTGATTTATCATACATACTTTAAAAGTATTCTATTAACATGTATAGATAAATAAGTAATAAAAAAATTATAACAAGGCCCGTGCGAGAGGGACGAAAATACTGATAAATGTAATATCAATTTATTATAGTTAATATTTTAACTCTTCTACCAAAAAAAAAAAAAACAAGAAAAAAAATTGATTAGTAAACAAGCCTGGTTATAACTTAAAATACTATTGATTAATTATAGCATGTAATATATTAATTGAAATACTAATAGATATGATAAGTTAAGTTTCTAATAAAAATTAACGATTGTTTCATAAATACTCTTGTTGGATCAATAAAACAATTTTATTGAAAGTCAGAATATCTATTAATAAAATATTAACAACTATAATGAGATTAGTTTTTCTTTGAACTTAGTCATTATTATTATTATATTATATTATATAAATGTGTACTATAATAAATTGTATACATAAACAATGGGTTTCTAATAGTCAGGATTTGTGGGGCCTTAGACAACACTTTATTACAACTAATTATTGTATGATGACTAAGGAGCGGATGTTTATGCATTTATCATATTTTTTAATAACATCTAAATTAATGCGGAGTACGATAGAAATTTGTTTCATCACTCAAAGAATTCAAATTTATCAATTTTTTAATTTTAATAATAATAATGAATTTTATTTTATTTTTTAAATTACCTATTAATAATTTATTACTATAAATTTTTAATAAATAAAAAATTTTATTGATGGATATTTTTAATAAATTCTACGCATATTTTTATACTTTATAGTGCATAATTGCATGCATATTTTAAAAATTTTTAGAGCATAAACATTCGCTCCTTAATGATGACTGTTTTAAATTTACATTTACTATTTTCATGTACAGAAATCTTTGAAAAAAAATCTTTCTTTTACACAAACAAATAGTCAAATTCGATAACATTTCAAAAATAATATTAACTAAACAATTATTTAAAAAAAACTTGTTTCCTGTTATATAATAATATAATGTGTTTTATAATATTTCTTTTAGATACAGATTTATTTTGATATTGGGTCTAAATACAAAACTAATTAATAGTATTTTATATTTTTCATGATACTCAAATTACTATTTATAAATAAATAAATAACTATGATTTATAACTTTGATTATTGGTCAATGAATTTCACAAAACTAAGATGAAAAATTGAGGGCCATTAAAAGCAAATTAAATGAAGAGACATATTATGTCCCATTTCTCAATCCTTAGCGCCAGCACTAATAGCAGTCTGTCCTAAAAAGAAAAAAATTAATAGTTTAAAAATATTATATTTTAAACCTGGCTCTTTTGTTTTCAATATATGTCCTTCTCCAAGGATGCAAATGTTGTTTGAGCTTTATATTAGATGGTAAATAAAATATTGCTGCTCCTTCTAAACGTTCACTTTTTGTACATACTGGATCTTCACGTTTACAGTAGTAACATTTACCATAAACACAAGTCTCCTTGGTTGTTGCTTATTGCCCCCAAAAAAATAATATTATATAAGTTCAAAATTAAAGTAATAAATAAATTAATAATAAATAGCAATTCAATAAAGTAACAAAAATAATATACTTAAAATTGTAATTACATTTATTAAGTTATTTCAGTTTATGTGTAGTGAAAAAAAAATTTAGTTAGAATTATATTTTTTATTATTATTGCTAAATTATGTAATTCATTATAATATAGTTATTAAACTAAACAAAAATAATAGAAGATAACTTACAATTTATATACATTGTTTTTTTTAATCCAATATTTGCTGTTTCGTGCAATTCTGATGCATCTAAGATTCGTTTCACCACAATTGGAACACGTGGAAATCCAAAAATAAGAGATATATAAAATGCTATTATTTCACCATTATAACGATCTTTACCAGCATATACATTGCCTTCAATAATTTCAGACTCTAAGTACCTTAATAACATACATATCATTAATAAACTTTAACTTACTACATTTTAAGAATAGCGATTGTTTAAATTATATAAATATGCATTAGAATTTAACTTACAATAAAATGTATGATAAAATAATAATAATTTAATTAAAAATACATACCATTTTGGTTTAAATAGAACTTCTTGTTTGTTTTCAAACATAAGTATTAACTTAAGCTGGGTTCCTTTAAATGCATTATATGTTTTGATTATTTTTGATGTTTTTAATAAGTTTATAGTTGATCCTAGAAAGGGTGAACCATGAAGAGGCATAAGTCCATTTTGATTCATTACCTATACAATTTATTTTAATAATATTTAATAGAACTTAACTTTTCCACAGAAAAATTATATTATTTTAGATAAAAATTAAATTAAAAAAGATAACAGTAAAAATTAATCATACCACAGGATGTCAGTGAAAAGATCAAAACATTGAGAAGATGTTACACTCACATGTATTGTTTTCATATTACAAACATACAACATAGCTAATTTAAGTTTATTATAAGTGATTTTATATTTTTAGCTTTAATATAATAATTTATTGACCTATTATTAAAATTAAAAATAAGAATATTTTCTAAATATGTGTATTGGATTTTTTTTCTGTTATTTAATTTTTAAGCAACATATAGACATTTTAATTTGTAAAATTTTACTCACTCATACCTAAATTCAAAATTAAAATATTTTAAAAAGCCCACACATAAACATAATGTTTACATCTTTCATTTTGATGATAGGTTAATTTAATCTAATATCAAAACTAACAACACAAAATCTGTTTTAATAATTACAAATTGTTATATGTTATATGCAGATAAGTGTCCTCTAAATGATATTTAAAAAAGGAACAAAAATATACTTCACCTATTTCCAAGTATTTAACAATAATATAATATAGTATAATTATTAAGGTGCAGATGCTGTAGAACTAAAAAACTAGTAAAATTTATTGCAGTATTGCACTAAAATATACCAAAAATTGCACTTAAAATATTAAAAATTGCTTTAAAAAATTATAAATTTTTTAAATTAAATATCCAATGTCCTTTGGTTTGGAGCCAATGATTTTTTATACTTTGAAAAACTTTGTTCTATATCGGTTGATATTAGCGAAGCATACTTAAAATAAAATAAATCGTTTACCTTCAAGTTGTCAGATAACCCTTTTAACAAATATTTACAAAACCATTTAAAAAGTATTAAAGACGTGAAATTATGTGAAAAACTTAAAAAAAAATTGTTAAAATTGTTTTACAAATGAATAAATTTAATAAAATTGCAATAAAAATCAAAAATTGTAGAAAATTGCACTTAAAACTTTTAGATTTTAATTCATATTTACATGACACATTTTAAACTTACTTGGCAATTAATTTAAAAAATAGAAAAAAAGTTGCAAATGTAACAACGTGCGTGCCCTAATAATTATATTATAACATTAATCTGAAATCCATTGATACTAACTTTCTTACTCATAATTAGAGTTATTATTTACCAGCAAAAATACAATTATTAATAGATCTAAGACCATTTTAACGCCATCATATAATCATTTTAAAACTATGATAAACTATAAATAATTGTAAGTAAAATAAGTATCCAATAAATTCACTAAAAAATTCATTTTATTCACTTTCATATTCGATACATAAAAAATAAAGTTGTTCATATTCACTTGTTTTTTGTAAACACATTCATACTCACTTTCTTAAAATATATAAATATGTACAAATTATTATTTTATAAATCTTTAAATAAAACATCAATTAACAAAATATATCATTTTTTTTTCTAATTAAATAATTTATTACAAAACAAAATCTCCTAAATTATATATCCTATATAACCACTACAAGGATAGTGACCTAACTAAATTAATTGCAATCAATACTATATTAAAAAATTTAATTTATATGATATAAAATATATTTAAAAACATTTCTGTAAATTTTTTTTAGTCTTTTTATGTTATAGTTTCAAGTTCTAAAATTATTTATTTTTTTAAGTTATCAATCTATATAATAAATTTTATAAACATAAAAATGGCGAATTTCTAATAAAAATTATATCATATAAGTATTAACATGTATAAAATAAATACCAAATTTAATAGTCTACATTAAAAGTAGTTTTAAAATAAAATCTTAAATATTATAAAATAATATAAACTTTTTGATAAGCATCAGCTAGTAGATAAAATTGCAATAAAAAAACATGATAACAATATTAAAAAGGAATTTAAAAAATAGGAATTTGATTAGAGTGACCTAAAAATTGTTCAATTGTATTTTTCCACTATAAAAATTAATTTCAATCACGTTTACAATCTATTTGTTATACCTAAGTGATTTAATTTACAAAGCATACTGTTAAGAAGAAAAGCAAATACTTACTTTAATAGTAGCAGCAAATAAATCAATATCACCATTAATCTTTAATTTTAAATTACTTATGAGCACATTAAGTTCTCTTAAAACATTTGACTGAAAAGTTGGTACTGGTATATCATACTCTTTATCAAGTTTATTTAACGAACTCATGATATTTTGAGTAGCATAGTATGTTGCATTGTATTTTATTACAGCTGGTGCCTAAAAATCAAAAATTTAGAAAATATTAATAATTGCTTTTAAACAAGTATATACTTTTTAAAACATTTCATTTTGATTAAAAAAAAAAAAATTATTAGTACATAATTATTGAGCAAATGATAAATAATAGTACTTTATGTAATTTTATTTTACAATTAACTTTTAATAATTTAAATTATCAGAATACTTTGAACTTAAAATGTTTAATCAAAAATCAACCATACATATTAAAATTGTTAAGAATTAACTTAACATTATATTTTTGTAGGCTTTGTGTAAATAAATTTTCAAGAATACAACAATTTAAATAATTAAATTACATCTTATATTTTATTTTTAAATATTTCATTAATCTTATCCTATACCTAACTATGTGTAATTAATGTATTAATATTGATTTGCTTAACTCGTAATATACAAATTACAACAATATAACATAATATGTAGACCAAGGATAATAATTTGAATTGATAAAGTTTCAAAGGTTTACTTACTCCTACATGTGGTTCATCTTTTGAAAAAAACAACACTAAATAAACATTTAAACACAATACGAGAAAAATGCTTAATAAAGTTATATAATAATATTTATAGTACCATCTTAAATATATCATAATTATGTTCTAAAAATGCGTTTTATTACTTAATAGTTCAATCAGAACTACATTTCTATACGAATATGTGAAAACATTTATATTCTAAACAACAGTTTGTACAGTTATTAATTACACCAGTTAATTTGATGTATGTAAAAATGAAAATATCGAATGTTATCAAGGTAGTTACTAGTAGATTGGTAGATTATGCACTTATCACTATTCACTTTCTGATAAGGTGATAACAACAATAATTCATATTAAATTGCCTAATTATTTTATATAAGGGGTCACGGGGTTCTAAATAAATTGTAATTAACAAATTTCTCTAACATAATTCCAAATTTGAAATGGATAAACTATTAACAATAATTATAACTGTGTCAATATTAATTATGAATTTGTAACTTGAAAACAAATGATTAAAAACTATTTGTATATCCGTTGCAAGAATTTAAGTATAAATTCAGTGGTGTATTAAAGAGTATAGCCGGATCTCTATTTTTGGATTTATGCGTATACCTTAAAGAAAATTCTTCTATTATGGGTATACGCCACTGAAAATGCATGCATTATGGGTATGCTCAAGCTTCTAGTTTATCATCAGTTATAATTAATATCGCAGTATAAAATAAATAATAATAATAATAACGTACAATTATTATTTTGTCATGTACACTATTACACTGTCCAAAAATAGCCTCAAGCCGGTATAAAATTCGGAATTCGGAAACTGCCGAACGTGTATACTGTTAGAGTAAATATTAAATATTAGCATCAATATTATGGAAGTATAAAATGTATGCGTCAATAGCCGATATTCCACTGACTCACATTCAAACCAAATCTATCTGTTTTTTACATCCTTTTAATCACTAAAATCACAATTTTGGTTTAACATAAAAAAAATTCAAAATTAAACAAATATTTGTTGGATAAAGTAAATAAATTTGTAAACTATAAAAAATATATTACCAAAGTTATTTACACCGATACAAGTATATGATATGAAGAGTGAATGTTTGTAATAAAATATTAAACTTATTAAATACTATTATATCTATGTGTAAAGATATTTCGAGGGAAGTGAGAAAATTTTTTAAGGTTTACCTATTCAAGTATTTTTAAGTATTTAACATTTATTTACCAATACACCACTGAATATAATGTACTAACTACTTGTTTTTAACAAGATTTATAATAATTCTAACAGTGTAATTTTAATTATTAGCGGTATAAATTTTTGTCATTATAAAATGTTTATAGTTGATTTTTAATTAGTAATTTATATTCTTTAAAATATTTTGAATTTTTTTAAATCCCTAGTTTTCAAAATAGTACAATTAGATAATTTAAAAATACTTAACTATTTTTACAAGTAAATAAAAATGAAAAATCAATAATGCCTTTATATTATATGGATACAATTATGCTATAGTCTACTGTAACATCCCCTCTTTGGCAATCATTACACTACTAAGGCAAGTTATAAATACCATAGTATGATTATTTATTACAAAGGTAGATTAAATTGAATTCTTTAATGTATAAAGAAACTAATATGATTATTGAAAAATTCAAAAAAGAAAAAATAGCTACTTCTAAAAATAAAATAATTTAATATACAAATGGATTTTTAATAAACAAATATTTTATAACCAAATAATTAATTATATTATTATTAAAAAGGTAAGTATTGATTTTAAGTTAGAATAATTAGCCAATTAATAATTAATTATTGATTTAAAATAATCCTATTACGTTCAAAATGATTAGAAGAAAATAAAAAATATCAATAACTAAATTTTGTTTTGTTATCTATTATGGTTAAGTGACTTTGAATTCTGGGTGCATAGGCATACGTAGACTATAAAATTAGGTAGTTTCAAAGGTCGTACCCAGAACAAATTTAGGAGGAGGTGGAGGTATACAAAAATCTTAATAAGTGATATATAAAATTATGAACAATTTATAAATGCTTTAAAGCAATTAAACATATATATTTTAAGCTCCCATAAATTAATAAGGTTTGTTAATAATCACTTAAATATGCATAATACATAATATAAAATAAAATTCAATTTTAGACCATAAATTCCAATTTTTTTTTCTTTAGAAAAACAGCTGATTACTTCCTCACGATCAACATGAATATTTCTATGTACACTAATATATGCTAAACCAGTTAGTCTGCTGTCTTCAGTGGTAGCATTTCATAAATAATTCTTCATTGTTATCAGAGAAAAAAAATGTCCTAATTATAACCTATATGATTAGATTAGATACTTTTTAGAATGTGGATAATAAAGATTATTGTTATGGAAGGCTCTTTAATATAGATTCCTACTAGCATTTTGTTTTAAAATAAATATTGATTAAGAAATTTAATCTATACTGTATTAATATATATTTTATTACAACTTTTTTTTATTTTTTTATTATGCTTTGGCAAATATGGTAATTACTCATTAACTCCCATTTAATGACTGCGTCCAACTACCAAACCACACTATGCCCCTATAGTCCTATACCACAATTGTTTGAGCTATACTACTATATTGTTAATATTAAATTATTAATAAAAAAAGGATGTCAAATTTTTATGTTTGTGTAATGCAAAAAAATGTTAAAGGGATTTGAACCCCTAAGTACGACCTTAGTAGTGCCCATACATTATTATTCGCTGTCTATATTAAAACTATTAGACTTCTTTAAACTAAATAATATTATCAATGATAGATAATAACAAGTAAAACATTGAACAATTAGTTTCTCGGCATACAGTTACAATCAAATTATAACAATTTTGAATACATAACATTAGCCACTGCACATTTACACTAAATGACTAAACTGTATACATACTTACATACAGTGAATTATTTAAATTTTTCAAACTAATTTTAAAAGTGTAATCTAAAATTGTACTTGATAATTTAGATATATTCATTACAATTAATATTTAGGTAATTTATTTAATATAACACACTTATTATTTCAAAAACTTAAACGTTTTTGAATCCTATATTTTTTTTACATAATTTTAAGTGGTTAAAGATTATATTTGATTTAAATTTTAAATCATTATTGATGAATCTTTTGTGTGAAATAATGAAAAATGATTTTTTACATTTTCCAGTCACCAACAAAAGAATCACTTCAAAATTTGTATTAAAAATGTCTATAATTTTTTTCTTGTGTGACTATGACAATGGGGAGGGGATCAGATTAAATTTAGCTATGCTTGACTCAAAAGTCTGCACACTCCAATAAAACATACTTAGATTGCTACTGGTTATGTATTAGGTATCCATCAGTAAGGCTTAAAGTAGAGAAGTAAGAGACTTCATATTCTAAGAAACCTTAAAGTATAAATACACTTATGCCCTTAAAAATTATCATATATGCTCTAAAAATATGTAAAAATGCTAAAATCTGCTCTTAAAAATATTTTATTTTTCATTAAAAAACTAAAAATTACAAATTTATTTATTATTAAATAAGGAATTTATAATTTAATTTTCACAATAATCAAACTGTACCTAGTGTAAAATATTATACTAATTATACAAATACCAGACAAAAACATACTCAATACCAACAAATTGACATCAACTGATTGGATTAGGTGTATTCCAAAGAGACCAACTTTATGTATTTTGCAACACACAAATAATTGGAAAAACACACGGTAGATAGAATAATCATTTATATTTAATTATTTTAATCTATTTTTTTAGTTTCTAGAAAATTAATACTAAATATTATATAGTATATATAAAATATTATTCTCTGTTACATATTATTTTAAACTTTTTTTTTAAAGTATGTGAAATATGTACTTAAAATGCACCTCTTTTTAAAGTACTCTTCAAACTTTTACTAACTGTGTAACTTTTAATTGTAGCTGATATTAACATAGTAATTTGTATATAAAATTTTTTTTTATTGTATAACATAGTTTCTCAATTCTTCTAAATTGATGTATATGAGTATAATACTAAAATTTATTTTTTATAAGTACTTGTGTTTTGTAAAGGGTGTGGGGGCAAAGTCCATAACAGATCTGCTTAAATTATTTGGATGGGTAAGTACTTTTTGGATTTTACTGTTAAATAAAAATTAGTTCAGTATGTATCATTGTTCTAAGCATTTTAAGGCTTATTATTTAAAGCAAAATTAAAAGCTAATTAAATAAAGCAGTTCAATTCATATTTTGCTAATTTTTAGTAAATGTTTATTTAAAAATTGCTTAGGATATGAACTTAAAGCTCTGATTATCACTCAAAAAAATAAAAAAAATTAAAAAAATTATTTTTTATGGCTTAAAATTGTTTAAAATAATTTTTTTCAAAAATGTTTATTTTTTAAAATAATGAGTGTTACAGTAGATGCCGCTTATAAGACTCACGGATATAAGGTTTAGTCGCTTATTAGACTCAAAATCATCTGGAACGGTCCGGACGTATCCAAATACATTAAAAAAAAAATCGGTTATAAGACTCAAATTTCATAAAATAAATAGTAGAAAATAAACTTTTTTGGTTATAATTTAGAAATAAATTGGTATTGAAAAATGAAATAATATTCGTGTTGATTATTTCTAGTTTCTGTTGGTACCTTATAACGTTTAATAATTTTTATCGCAGATAAAAGTTCACATTTATCGCAACGATAATTGTTATTATAGTGTACTGATTATCTGGCGGCTGCACAGTTATCGTAATATGTAATATTTACCTATTATAATTTTAGTATTTTTATCGGGATTTTTAAATTTATTCAATAATAAAGTATGTAATATGTGTTAATGTATTAAAATCAAAGCAAAATATGAAGTAAAATAAAATTTATAAATATGTAATTATTTTTTTTTTCCATTTCGCCTATAAGACTCATTTGGTTATAAGACTCACTTTGTGCTGGTACCAAAGTGAGTCTTATAAGCGACGTCTACTGTATTATGTAAATGAATCTCCTTAAACAATATATATATCACAGTTATTAGTTGATTTGAGTAACAAAAGTAAAATTAATTCATTAAGGGTTTAGTATCTATATATTATGATAAAAATTAAATATCTAATTAAACTTTTATTGCATTATTATTTCAATTTAAATGAAAAAAAAAAAAATTAAATTAAATTTAAAAAAAACATAAAAGAATGTTGAGATTTTCTATGTATATCAACATAATTTTTACTAATTTAAATTTAAGGTTTTAAAAATTTAATATTTTATTAGTATTAAAATTAATATGTAATTTTTAATATCATTTTAAAAAATCATGAGTTTGTCGTTAAATTATCTAATACCTAAGTACATGTTTTCTAAAGCAAAATAACATAAAATACAATATTATTCCTGTATTTGTTATGTTATCGTTTACTGATACAATAGTAGTTACAAATTATAATGCAACTTTAGTAAAAGACTTTATGTCCAATATAGGTAAAAATTAATGATTAAATTTACTATTTGCAATTACCATGTTATCAGCCTTTCTGAAATTAGAAATATAATACGGTTTACCTTCATCTGTCTACACTGAAATTGAAAAATAAAAACTTTTAGTACAAATCTTTATTAGATAAAAATCCAAAGACAACTAAATTTACATACCACTTGGACACTGGTGATCTATACTTCTTCAACATCATTGAAAATCCTCATAATAGTGTTTTTGGTGTATTTAAACATTTACAGTATTTGAAGGTGTAGGTATCATTCCTGTCACCATAATTAGTGTGCTGTGATAGAAAACGAGTTTGAGCTGCTTTGTAACCATAACCATGTGGTGGTGCGTACGTCTTATGTCTCCATAATTTTACATATTTTATTGTCAACATTTCACGACGCTTGCAAAATGTACAATAAATGTAATCACAGAAAGACATATGCAAATCTCGAGGCTTATATTGATTGATGGCTGTGGTCGGAAACAATCGCATAGAATACTTGTTAATGCGGCTGGGTTCGATAGCCATTTTACGAATATAAACATCACGAATGCGTGGTGAAACGTCATAAACACGTTTCCTAAACTTCTGATATTTAGGTTGTAGTCTTCGAAAAGTTCTTAAAGTATTATCGTCAAATGAGGTCAAATCGAACAAAAGCGGATAGATAACTTCACCGTGTTGCAAGCAACCATTATTCGTCACAATGCACTTCCAGTAATCACATAAGCAATCATATGTGAAAATTATGTCAGTATTAAATAAATTTATAAAAACTGATACCACAGAAAAATCAAACCATGAAAATATTACCTGTACTGGTGGTTTGTTATCGGTACCATCAGTGTGGAAATTAATCACCTTGGTATTCTCGGCCGTATAATAATCAGATTCTGAGTAAATTGCCTTATTGTAGGGAAACTCAAAATCTGAGGGAAGATATGCCACGGCAAAAATATCAATTACATTGAATCTTTCAGTGCGACCGACTAGCCACGCCGCGCATTCTCCTGACACGAAAAATTGAGAATTTATCAAACTTCTTGACTTGCAACCACTTCGCAGCAGCGTCTTGACACGATCCAAAGCCGGTTGTATACGTTCCAGACGTCGTTTAAACTCTGCTTGGTGACGTGAATGAATTTGGCACATCATGTTTTATTTCTTTCCAAACGTCCAGTCACCTGCTGGATTTAATTAATGTAGTGATTTAAAATAATGTAATTGCCTGCCGGTTGCCTAGCACCTATATTACATTGATGAGTCACATGAGACATGAATGGCAGAATAAATTAAACAAAATGACAAACAAGTAAAAATGCGATAAACTTACTTGAATCTTTATCATGGTTAGGTTAGCGTAGGATATGGAAAAAACAATATAAATTTAGCCATGAATATTATCATCATTTAGTAACAACTAACAAATCAAATTTGAAAACCGAAATTTTCTTACAAGTTTGTTCTATATAGCAGATCTTGATTTTGATTTTGAAGTATTGAACATAATTTAAATAGCTGTACTAGTATAGGTATGTGACTTTATATCATTATTTTAAATGCTACCCCTAATTGAATAGGTCACTGTAATAAATATGTTTAATGATCTTAACTCAAATAAAAATTGATAAATTATTATAAATAGCTTTGAACATAGTCACTGTTAATAAATTGTTTTGATGTTAGCTTCAATGTCTTAAACAATTTTAAATATAAGCAACACGTCTTATTTTTATTTTCTATTAGTAATATGTGGGTTTTACAAATTCTATTAAATTTTTTAAAATATTACATGTTATAGGTACATATTTTTTGATATACTACATTATACAATAATTAAATCCTATCATAAATTAATGTTACTAACTTCAAGTCAATCACCATGGAATAGATCTAAATAGGCTTGTGTTATAAACACCTTAGAAATCAATAAAAATGTTTTAATAATCACAATATGTATTTAAATTAATAATAATAATATTAGTAATAATAGAGTGTTTCAAGTTTCTTGTATTAATGAATTTTTAACTTAAACAAAATATCAAAAATTGTTAGTAGACAACTAACAAATATTTAAACTTAAATTTATGTGGACTTAGAGCTAAGCTTTTTTTTTTAATTCCATAAAACATAACTTAAAATATCTTGTATTACATTTAGGAGTCTTAAACATACATATATAATATATACAAACAATTATTAAATAAAAAACCAGTACATTTATCAATATGCTTAAAATTGTCTTATTTAACTTATTAGACACAATATTTTTTTTCATAAAACTATACATTTACATTTTTTTTTTTTTTTTTTTTTTTAATAGAATAATTATTAAAAGTTAAGAACAATATTCGTATTAATCAGAATTAAATATATGATACAAATTATTTAAACATAACTGTAATTAACATTAGAATTTCTAGTTTTTGAATACATTTAAATTATATTTTGATAAAATATTTAAAATAGTTTCTAAAGTGTATTAGCATACTAAAAAATCCAATAAATATGGAAAATCAATAAAGATTAATTGAAATTTTAAGTAAATATTAAATAATTTATGTATCTGTGTACAATCAAATACATTACATAATATTATTATTAAAATATCCATGGAAAATAAATCAATAAAATTTATGAAACCTTACATTAAACAACTGGAATATTTAAAAGGGACTTCGCAAAAATAATATTCTTATGATATACTATTTGAAAAATTGGATAATCATAATACACTTAAATCATTATTTTTAATTTAAAATTCTAAAAATGTTGTGTATTAATCAAATTACTTGTTATTAATAATTATACGAAATATACGACTTAACATATACATTTAGGTAAAAATTAATAATAAAATTTGATAAGTAACAAAAATTATTAAAAATCATCACCATCAATATTATTTTTAAAATCTTGAAAATAAATTGTATCCAGTGTAATTGTATCCAGTGTCTGTATTTTTATATATTCTACTCTGAAATAGTATAGCACATCGGACAATGATCCTAAGGCACAAAATAAAAAATAAATTAATTGATAAATCAAATTAAAACAATGTACAATTTAAGTAACAAAACAATTGGTAAATCCATCAAATATGCATTGATATATTAAACATTTCATAATACTATAATAGGTACAATTTTAAATTAAGATAGTAACTGAAAAGATTTAAGAACCAAAATAAAAACAGATAAGTGAACAATTTGATATACAAAATACACTAACGAATGTAGTTAAGATTAATTACTTGAGTTAAAGTATTTTTTAACATAGTGTTGAAATATACTTTCTGAGTATTTTATTATAATCAATAACTAATATTATTATTATTATTATTATTATCTATTGTAGTATAATTTAATTTGTATTAGGTCACATAAGATTTTTTCTGTATTAAATAATAATCTAAAATTGACTTATTTTATAATTTACCAATTGGTTTTAATAAAAAATATATTCAATATTTATTTACATTATCATAGAACCATTTACGCAGACATTCGCCATGAAAATAATGATTACATTTAGTTATTCTAGCTGAATTCATATTTTCATGACATATGGCACAAACATCATTAAATTCAGACAATTGAGTACTAGTTGCTTGTGATAATGATTCAATTTTTTTTATAGCTGTACTGCGTCTAGTTAATTCTTTCCACTTATTCCTGGCATTATAAATAGTTGAATATGTTTGTGTAAGTATCAAGAATACACTAACTACACCACCAAATATAAAAGCCACATTATAAACACTAATCAGTAAAATAAAGACACGAATACAGAATTCTACCTAAAATAAAAATGTTAATTATAAAATTATAGAATAAAATTTAAAGATTTTTTAAATTACTATATTGCCAAATGAATTGATATAAAACACATAATCATCCAATTTGTCCCAAATTATAGAGTAATAAGTATCAATTAATAATAACGAATAGACTGCTAATGATACCAATACTTTAATAATAGTTGCAATATTTAAAGCAATAACTGATAGTAGCCAAGGACCAACTAAATAATTAGACCACAAGTAAATTAAAATAGTAACTGCAAACACTATAAGAAATCCGCAAACTAAAAGAGCTCTTGCGTGCCTAAAAATATAATAAATTTATTTTTAAAACATTCTTGATAATAATTAATATACTACCTTTTAAGTGAAGTATTGAGAGAAGCAACTAAAGACATTAATAATTTATTAACCATATCATGAATTTGATGCTGAAGGGTAGTACAAACTAAACAAATAATTTCAAAGAGTCTTATCAAACGGTTTTCTGGATCTAACCTTGTTAGTCCAGATTGAGTAGCTAGCATAAAAAATAATATTGCAGAAATTACTCCACAATTTAAGTCATCCAAGTCATCAATCTGCAGCACCTAATTAAATAAATTTAAAAATATCTAAAAATTTAAACCCATTTCTAATACTTTAATTATTTTACCCATTGGAAGAATTTTTTTATGTATTCACTTAAGTATGATATAAAAGTTGTTATTGCTAAAACTGTTATACATGTATCGCTTCCTTTGATTAATAAATAATTTATAGCTCCAAACAATGCTTCATTTTGTATTTCTATATAAATTTGGGGGTGCAGAAGTTGTATTAGTACTCTAATAGCCCAAAATATTCGTAAAACATTTGAAATTTTAAGACGAAACCATTCATTTTCAATCATAATAAATATTTCATGAATACTAAAACAATATAAAAATATATTAAATAGTAAGTATACATAGTCTATGTAAAATATTAAAATTATACTTATTCGTTGGTGTTTACAAAAAACTAATATTAGTAAAAATAATGTATAAAATGGTCTTACTTTATGAACTGTCGTATATAGATATATCTATTCTGAATTATAGTTGTTACTATAGATATATTTAACCATAGTGTTTTCAGCAAAAAAAACAATTGCAACAATGTTGATATTATAATTACTGTGTTTATAATTGTACTAGTTTGAATTACTGATGCAATTAAAGTAGGAAAAAAAAAGCTATACCTAAAAATCTAAAATGTTAAATATGTATTATTTCTTATTGAAGATGAGTAAACTAAATTTGATACTTACATTATGCATTTGATAATTTATAGTGAAGATTTGTAAAATTTCAAATACTAATGATAAATAATATTGTATGAATATATAGCGAGATAACTTGTTTAATCGTGACTGTGTAAAAAAATATATTATTCCATCAACATCCCATGTTATAATTTCATTTACTACAACTCTCTCAAAATTTTTATATTTTTCTGATAAGACTCCTAATATTTCCATGTTTATCCAGTAAGAATAAATCGCAACGTAAACAGAAAGTAGATAAACATATACTATGAATATGTACTCGGCAGGTAGAATCAATAAACATAATGATAAACAAAATACTAGAAAAATTAAAAATTGAAATTAACAAACTAAAAGAGATATATTATTATTATTTTTAACCATTTATTGAACTTACTTAAACATGAAACTATGATTCTGAGGAAAGCCGGTGTGATAATTTCAGGAAATATGTTGAATAAATCTGGAAACTCGAAACTACTTTTAAATAGTTCGTCTATAATAAATATGAGAGGAACCCTCAACAAATAATTACAGAAACTCTCAAGATTTATCATTTTATATACTTAAACTCAAACGATAGTAAAACCTGAAAATAATTATAAAAACTATGAATACAGATATTAGTACCTAGGTAATATTTGTATATCAAAAGACTTGAAAGACACCAAGTAAAAATCTATAATCACAGATACAGTTAACAATGTTCTGAAATTATTTTAGAAAAACACGTGAAAAAATTATATCATCATGTTGATGATACATTTAATTAATCAAGATGATTTTTTTTTTTGTTAGCAAATACATAAAAATATTAGTTAATTTCTGTAACATGCGTAGTAGATAAAAAGAAGACAATCAAAACGTTGAATATTACTTACGTTAAAAATATATTAAAATCATGAAACGCGATGTTCTCGGAATTACACGTTACCAATGTCAAATATATTATTTAAAATACAAACCACAGATTAAGAAATAATAATGGAATTACGTCAATCAGCGGTTACCGAAACTCTTAAGTAACATTCAAATGTTAGGTACTGTACGACTAAAAACACACATGTATCAGCTCATCATCTATTTAAAATGAATAAAAGCAATATAATCGTAAACGTTGTTTACTCATTACAGTGTGTACTGTGTTCCACACGACAGGTCACAAATGCTGTGACTCGACAGGTGGCGGTTTTCTCAGATCAGGGATACCTATATATTAAATAATTCCACGGACCATAAAAATCATGATAAAATTATATTAAAACCAATTGCTGGTCAGTCTTCTGCATACAGTGTAACCCATAGAGTAATATTACTCTATGGTGTATCCCAAGGGTGCAATGTAGACTATCAATGTTCGGAACGTTTCCTGATAGAATGTTCACAACGTGTATCCTTATAAGTTACGAATTTTACAAAACAGTTATAACGAATTTTCCTAGGATAGTATATTTAAGGGTTAAGCAATGTGAATTTAGGGTTAAGCAATGTGAAAACAGTTCGGCCCTCATGTAGTGATTTTCAATGAAAAAAAAAAAAATAGGATAGTATATTTAACATGAGGTAACAGGTGTGTTTTTACTTTTTGTAAGAAATAATTACTTGTTTGAAAACTTGGCTGGAAATATGACTGCAGATAGTTATTGCCAGCAGGAACGCTATGTCCTATAACTTACAAGGGTCGATAAATAGACATAAAAACAATATTAAAAACCCTAAGTACAAAATACACATGGATAATAACATATTATGATACAAAGAATACATTTCTTAGTTGTATGAATGTTTTTAACTATTTTTATAAATTTATTGAAATTTTTAATACTTTTTTTTTTTTTTTAATATCTATTAACATTATTAAATATTATCATTATTGAATTTTATATTCCAGAATAATATATCAAAAATTTATGAATTAATTCACTAAGCCATCATATGAAATGTTTTTAATGTGTAGCAATTAACAAATAATCATTTATTTATTATTTTATCAAATACAATATATTTATATGTTAGTATGTTAGGTATATATTCTCCATTGATGTAGGTTCCTCATATCAGTCGTACCTATGTTTACACGTTGTCTATAATATATTATTACATAACACATATAATGATCGGTAGAGACCGTTTATTAGTAATTAGTGAGTTGACAATTTTTAATATATCTTATTAGAAATTAATTACTGTATAGGTAATTACTATTTATATAGTTAACAATAAAGAACTATAAAAAATACGTTTGTAAAATTATTCATATAAGTAATGTATAAAAAATTGGTGACGGTGGTGACGGGAAAAAAAATAGTTCACGTTTGAAAATTGATTTATATTTTGTTATCTAAGTACCTATGTATTGCATTACATTTATTCTTATTACAATAAGAGTTTCGAGCGTTGTATTCATGTTAATAAAGAATGGCTACTCTTAAGATAAACTCAAAAATAAGCTTTAATCAAGTTATTGGTCACCAAGAATGTTTGAAACGCATATGAACATAACTAGATATATTTCGTTATTAAAATAAGCAAACTTTTTCTCTGAAAATACAAACAAAAATAATATTTAAAAAGAGAGTCATAATATTATTATAGGTCAGTAAAGAAATTTAAGTACTAATTAAATACTAGTTAATGTGTTGTAGGCTGTAGCACACTTTATGATTTAGAACCAATATGATACTCAGGAATAATCGATGTTCCAAAGGCGCGTACGTGTCAACAATTTGCATAAAAATGTGGTTTTTAGTAAGAATGATAATTCCGAATCCGCAAGTGTTCAATATGTGATTACGCAACAATGTCCATTTATCGTACCTATTAGATACTTTCATTTAATTATATAAATTAAACCAGGGTTCAGAGTAGATAAAGCGCCCGGCTTAAAGCAGTTCATAATATAATATAATCGTAACAAAAATTCCGATCGTCTTCTTCGTGACGTTATGTGTTTAAATATGGCCTATTAAATTAATATCAAATTTACATAGTTTATAGTAAGTTGTAAAACCTGTAAAAACCCTAATAGAATTTTTTTGTAATATAATTATTTTACTGTTAATATTTTAGCTTCGGAGTATAAGTTTTTAGTTGAATAAAGCCTAGGTTAATGATAAATTATTTTTAAGGTGTTTTGTGCTATATATAGATATATGCAATTTATCTTGGTTTGTGCAGCAGCAGCACTACCCTAAACTACTATAGCATATTCTATCAAAGATTGTGTTGTGAAATATGTATTTTTTAGCCAGTGAATATTTTAAAAGTGTCAACAGAGAGAAAAACTCAAGAATAGTACGAATAACGAAGTGATTAAGGAGCAAAAACCACGTCCTATAATGTAGCGACAATTCCACTAAATCATTTTTCAAACGGTATTCGTCGCAGACAAAATTAATACGCATAATGGCGTGTTGTATACAATTTATTCGCAATGCGATTTAAAAGCACGCCGATAAGTCTTACTAAATCTAACTTTATACATTTTAAAATAAGTAAGAATAACAATAATTTAAGTTTTTATAAAAAACAATAGACTCCATCTAGTGAAAAATGAAATAAATAATTGTATCTACCCTTTAATTAATTAAAACAACCTCTGTAAAACATTTAGGTGTACATTTTTATAAATACTTGAAATTAAATGTCTAGTAATAACATTGGTTCAAAAATTTATATATTTAGATGTTTGAGATGTATCTTAACGATTAACATTGAATCAATAGTATATACATTTCAAGTGCAATCAATAGTATCTTACGGTATAAAATTTTGAAGTCACACTTTTGATACTTGTACTAAAAAGTAATGTACAAAATTAAATTCTTTTGTAAAATATAACTTCCACAAGCAAAGTCTCTTTGTATAATTTGCTGATGTTTTAAATATATTATATAATTAATTATCCTATTGATAATTATAACAAACAATTTGCTAAAGTTATTAATATTATATTATTTAAATTGAGAACTACTTTTTTTTTAATCAGAACCATATTTGTATTAAACATATAGTTTTATTAATTGTAAGCAATTAAAAAGAAAATTTATGTCTCTAAATTAAAAAATAAATATTTTTATTTATTTATAAATGTATTTGTGATTATTTATTTTCAATTATACTGAATGTTTACTATTTATAATTTATTCAATATTATGAAATATAAAATAATTATATTATTTTTGTTACATATTCTTGATATGTTTATTTAATTTTGTTCTTGAATGACCTCTCATTTTCCAGCACAGCCTTTAGCATTGAAAGTAATCCAACAAACATTTGTTAGTTATTATACTTCTTGTAAATATTACTAGTTCAAAATTAATAAATTATTATTATTATATTATGATACATTACATCAGGGGTCGGTAACCCACGGCCCGCGGGCCGCATGCGGCCCACAAAGCAATTTTTAATGGCCCGCACAAAGGTGGTTAATTTTTGTGTTTTACTTTTGTTCAATAACATTTTTCATATAATTTTCAATATTATATAATTCTTTTTCCTATATAAATAAAATCTAATTTAACCGTTTCATAATAGCAATACAATTATAAGTATTATATCATAATATGTAATTTTTTTTTTAATGTGGTCCTTGATGAACAATTGAAAAAAAAAATGACCTGTGTGGTTAAAAAGGTTGCCGACCCCTGCATTACATGATATAGATAAATATTATGCAATCTCATAGTAAAAAAATTTATGTAGATATCTTTCTTTATTTTTTGTCGTATCAAACATAATGAATATATTATACTTGATTCTTTAATTTGTAATTATAATAATTTTGAGTTTTCAAGTCATATAATAAAAAATTGAAATAAATATTGAGATTAATTAAAACTTGATGAGAAAAAAATTGATTAAATAACTTATTATTCTACTAAATCTTTAGATAATTTTACAATATAAAAAACAAAAAAATAAAACAGTATTCATAAAACAATTAAATATCCTTTAATCAATCACCAAATACCACAATTTAAAAAGAAGTTAACAACTATCAATATATAGGTATATATTATGTATAAATATGGTAATAAGTTGCATAAATAATAACTAAACATTTAATGATTAAGTAGAGAAGTATTAGACCTTTGGTCATGATTGAGCTTTTAATGATTGGTCTATCAATTTTAACCATTTAATAATTATGAAATTTAATCATATGAGTCAATTTTTTATGCAACTCTGTGTAAGACTATTATAATATATAAATAATAAGAGAGATTTTTGATTATTTCAGAAAATTTTTATTTCAATAATTTGATCTTGACTGTTCCAATTCAATAATTTAAATTTTATAACTAAAGCCTGGATGTCATTCCACCAGATGCTACAATTACTTCACCTGTTATATAGGAAGAAGCTGGTGAACAGAGAAATGATATAATAGAACCAATTTCTTCAGGACGACCAAATCTAAAAAAAAAAAAATAAATAACAAATAAATTATAGTTAGTATTTTAAAATAATTAAAAGAAAAAATATTACCTTTTAATAGGTATTCCTTGTAAAAAATGTTCATTAAGCGATTCATTTCCCGTAATCTAAAAACCATAAACTACCATTAATACAGTTGTTGTTTTTTTATATAGATATTTAATAATAAATAACAATTCAAATTATTATTAATAAGGAAATTAATTACATAAAATGTATTTGGTTATTTTAGTTAATTTAATTTTTTTGTAAAAATATATCATTAATAAATAATATAAATAATAATAATTTAAATAAAAAATTACATGCAATTCAACATTCCAATCAATGTTTTATATTATACCTAAACATTCTATACTATAATAATATTAACATTATATTATTATGAAAAGAACTATTGAAAAATTAATGAATAGGTAAATAAATTATTTACAGTTATATATATATTATATAATAAATAAATGCTACTTACCGCTGATGCAAATTTCGTTTTTATAATACCAGGAGCTATACAATTAACTCTTATGTTATTCTCTGCCAAATCCATAGCCACCACTTTTGTCAAACAAAGAAGCGCTGTTTTACTAACAGAATAAGCACCTAACATCTATAACAACATTTATAAGATAAACAAAAGTTTTAAAATGTATATATTCAGTTAAATTGTGATAAATTAATTAATTTAAAATTTTTTACTGGAATTGGATTGATACCAGCTATTGAAGAGACATAGACAATTGAGCCTCCACCTCTAGAAATTAGATGTGGTACTACTTCTTTTGTTAACAAAAATGTACTTTTGACATTAACATCAAATATTTTATCCCATATTTCTTCACTACACTAATTCACAAACATAAACTATTAGTTTAACCCAATTATTTTATGAATAAAAATAGTTAAAAATGTATTATAGGTAAAAAAAAAATCTTACATCTAATACTGAACCTGATGTAGGATTTGTTGCAGCATTTGATACAAGAATATCAATTCCACCAAAGATTTTAATAGTCTAAAAAAAGATTATATATATAAGTAGATATAATGGCGGTTCTAGAACAACACCTTAAAAAAATTATGGTGTTTTTTTATAGTAATTTGTTTTTTTTCAACTAGATCAATAAAATATTCATCAAAATTAACAAAAATATTTATTTTTATAACTTGATTCTTTTTACATTTAGTGGTTTATAAATAATTTTAGATGTTTTTATTAAAAGCCAATTATAATTGTATTTGAATACAAAGAAAACTTTTTTTTCATGAAGGGTAATTTCATTTTTATGTGAAATAGATTTTTCAATTATATTACAATGTACTTCAGATATTTTATTATTAATATTTAATGTAGAATTTTAACCTAACATTTATATATAAAAATTTTTTGTTATTATCAAAACTAAAACTTAATTTTAAATTTTGATCAAATAAATAATATTCTTTTGTTGTAATTGGAATTTAATTATTAGTATTAACTATTTTAATATTTAATGGCAGTAAACTATTTAATTGTTCAGCTAAATAATTTTCTTTTAATTCTGTTTTATTATTTTCATTAAAAAGAATACCTTTAATATTTTTAGTAAAACCTTGTGTAGTTGTGTATAAAAATTTAGTTGTTTTGAACCTATTACTATGTATTTAATACCTGATGCTGATTTGTTTGATTTAGGTTATAATATACTATTTATAGGTTTTAAATATCCAATACAATCAGAACCTAAATAAATTGATAAATATACATCAAAGCACAAACTAATTGAAACAGTTATATTTAATAATTGATCCTTTAATACAAGATTGATTTTAGGAAAATCAAAAGAATTTAATAAATTTTCAATTTTACAATATATGTGTTGATATTTCACCATTTTTGTTTAATTTAAATTTAAATTCTTTCTCTATATTTATATCTTTGGTAGTGGAGTAATAAATCATTAGTTTATTATTAAGCGATGAAAAATTAAATATTATGTTTAGAAATCCTAAATAATTTTTAAATTTTTATCTAAAATATAATAACAAGGATATTCTATTTTAATATTGTTCATATTATCAGTTGATACAACTAAAGATTAAATTTGTTTGTTTAATTATGTAATAGTAGATTTATCTTTTTTTATTTTTATTTTACAATAAGATTAAATATTATTCATATTTAATCCTTTTAAAATCATTGATTCAAGACTAAAATTAATTAATTATTGTCATTAAAAATTAGATGTGTTAAACATATAAAACATTTTTTTACTTTTATAGATGGCATTATAAAACATTGTTTTAATTACCAAAATCTGTAATCGTGAAATGTATTTTATTTTATACATAAAAAAAAAATATATATACATATATACAGTGTACTCCCGATTATCCATAGTCTTCCAAGGAATCAATAAAAAAAAAAAAAAATAAATATCTTTACAATGTATATTGTACATTATTATCAGTTTAATTAGTTTGCTGTCTATGAATTATCGGTAGTTTTTCGCGGGATTAATAATTAAAACTTCAATTATAAGTTAAAAAGAAGTGTTTTCAAACAAAAAAAAAAAAACTTGTAACTGATTTTTTTGCATTTAAATAATTTATAATTTTTCCTTATATGTACATGTGTATATTTTATTTTTTATTATAAAATTTAAAATATTTTTGTAATATTATACGAATGATTAAATAAAAATAAAACATGTTCTAATTTAATTTTTCTTAAATACTATTTAAAATTACATGATTCAATTTATTTAATATATACATGTAATTATTGAATTTTGCAGATTAACCATGAAATTTGTTTAACCATGAATGCCAAGCCACCTTATTTCGCAGATAATCGAAAGTACGCTAAATATAATATTAAACTTTTATATTTGTATAATAGGACATAAGAATATATTTAAGATTATTTTATCATTAAAGAATGAAATATTTATATTTATTTATAGCTGAGTGTTATTTGAAATTATCATTTAATTGTAATCATACAATATTCAAGACAAACCCTGTAGTTTTATCAATTTGAAAATATTAACTAAGTTTATTATATAAATATATAAAACACATTTCCTTATTTGATTAAATAATATAAGAATATTTTTCACTTACAAAACTGGAACCTTTAATAAATTTAAACTAATATAATTTCCATGATTAAATTTGTTGATATAGTTTTAGTAAAAAATCTATGTATCTAATAAAAAATAGCTAGGCATGTTTTAAATATTAATATTTCATTGTATGATAAAGATACCTGTATGAACTATATATATATATATTCTGCTAAGAAACAATGAAATAGTATGTAATTAATACCTCTTGGATTAAATTGGTTCTATCATCATTTTTTGATACATGACACACAAGTCCTTTAACTTTGTTAACACCATATTCTTTTTGAAGTTGTTCTAACGCATTTTTTACATTATTTTCCTTGCGACTGCAAATCATGATAGATGCTCCATCATTAACCAGTTGTTTAGCAGCAGCGAAACCAATCCTGAACAATGAAATTTATTGTTGAAAATGTTATGATTACAAGACTAAAATTGATCATAATTCAATTTTTATTTTTTACCCATCCGTAGATGCAGTGATGATTGCTACTTTTCCTTCCAGCGGTTTGGCAATATTTGAAAACATTTTCTTAAATTTTATTCCAAATGATGTAATAATTGGAGAGCTAAACTTGTGAATACAATTCATTATGAAGCGTTTTTATAACTATCTATTTACAAATAAAATTTATAAAAATAAATACTGTATTTTTTTTAATCGTGCAACAATATGATGATCATTGAATTCATAAAGTAAAAAAATATTTAAGTGTTATGTGATCAATTATTGATAAAGACGAAAAGAGATTTAAAAAAAAATGACAATCTCACTTACCTATACGGCTGTTAATCATTCGAAAGTGTGACGTGTGACGATAAACCTTTTACTAATTTGTATTTTTGAATTTTAATATACCTATTACCCAATGACTTTTATGACTACTATTAACTAATAAGTAATAACTAATAACTACGAAATACGAATGTAGTTTATGAATTATCAATTTATAGCTACTGTGTTGTTTACTTTCTCTAACCATCAGATCATCTTATCACAAATTGTGGAATTGATAAAATCATGTTTAATATCAATTAACTATATCGTTCGATGAGATATTTTTGTCCACAGTATAACATTGTTCTGTGGTACAACTGTGGTACAACGTTACAGTTTTGCATTTTATCTGGCTCAATTTTGTTTGATAAATATTAAATGCATTATGTAGATAACATTTTTATTTTTAATACAATTTTTATCTGGTTCATGGACAAATGCATAACACTTAGGATTTATTTATTTATTTAGACTTATATAAGTTACTTTAATTTTAAAGTCTATGGATAAGTGCAGAATATTTATATCCTTGTATATGATTAAGTTAACCGTAATCTTTAATAGTATACTAATATGTATGGAGAAATAAAGTATAGGTAATGACCGTTAAGCATTAATTAAACTATTTGAAACTTTAAATAGTTTAAATCATAAAACATCGTTGAGTAAAAACAAAATATTTTAATTTCTATATCGTATTATTCAATTAGCAAACGTTAAAACTTAAAACCTTAACAGATAAAAGTGTTAAAACGATGTAATAGATAAAAAAAGATAAGGATATCAGTTGACAAAACATAAACACTCAGACTCAGTTATCTTTCTTGCAATCAATTATAATGATATCATCCTCGTATTATGAAATAAATCACGGTCGCTACTCGCTAGTGAACTAGTGACTTAGCTTCTTCTGTCATGTGAAAATATGAAACAAAAAGCAATAGGATTATAATCTTAAAAAAAATCATTTGAAATCTTGTATCCATTATCCATAATTATAAAAACTTTACAGAAACGATGGTTTTCGAAAAAATTAATTACTTTACTGTTACAAAATTATGTTAATTTGTAATTTATGTAGTGATTATAGTCATGATTGACTTTCATATCAACAAATTAAAACTGAAAAAAATGATTGTCCGAAATAAAACTCTAATTAAATTATTTGCTCTCTTAATTTTATGTACAGTTATTCTTTACGTGAGCAAATACAGTTTTAATAATAGATATGAATTTGTGAAAGGTAAAGACCTTTTGGAACAAGCAATTCGAGCAGCACAATTGGGTGGTATTCAAGTTGAAGCTATCCACAATGAACACTTGATTAATTCCCAATCAAAAGGAAAAACTGCTGAAGGCGCAAATGATCCAGTCACTAATGCTGATTATACATCTCATTGTGCTATGTATTATCTGTTGAAAAAAAATATACCAAATGTAAAAGTATGTATAGCCTATATTTTTCAAGTAAATTTAAATATATTTACTAGACTCTTTACTTTATATTAACATTGGTGATAATTAGTATAATGCACTTAATGTTGAGTACAATGTAAAGTCACAGAAGTCAGTGTTAAATATTTATGAATTATCTACAAATTTGATTCATACACCAACTCTGCAACTTATAAGTATTGATAAAGTTTAAATATTTAATAGGTGATATCAGAGGAAGAATTATCTGAAAAAGAATGCAAAAAGTTAAATATAAAAAAATTAAAAAATTATGATAACGAACACATAACAAATATTGATGAAGAATTTGAGAGGAAATACATAACTATATGGATTGATCCATTAGATGCAACACAAGAATTTACTGGTAACAAAAAACAGTTTTAAAATCTTAAAATTAACACTTATTAATTTTGTTTGTTTGTTTTTTTTTTTTTTTTTTTAGAAAGTTTGACACAATATGTTACAACCATGGTCTGTGTTGCATATAAAGGTAAACCTATAATGGGTGTTATACATGAACCGTTTTCATCTAAAACAACATGGGCTTGGCTCTCAAAATCAAGATCAAGTAATTTCAATAATATTAAAGTGAGTTTATAATTTATTATAGTTAAAATAATATATTGAATTGTGTATTAGAAACAAATTATAACTATTTTAATTATTAAAATTAGTTTTATTTAAAAAAATATACTCTATGTAGTAGTGTATTAGTAATAAAATAATAAATCTCAGTTACAATAAAAACTTTATATCTTGAATTTTCCATTGTATTATTTAGAATGAGTCATGATCATATCATCTTTCTCATAATTTATATTGTAACCGAATGATCAATAGGTAGATTAATAGTAGGTATAGTTCTTAGTATAGTTATTAAAATTTGTATTTCTTCTAAATTTGATTGTATACGTTGTACCAAGTAATAAATTGTATAATCCAGATTTTAAATTTTTATTTATATCTTATTGTAAAACAAATAGTTTTTTATGTATGTACTTACGTATGTTTTATTATTAAATTAGGTTCCTAGAAAAAAATCAATTATTATTTCAAGATCACACAAAGGTGATGTAATGGGTCTATTAAATCAACGATTATATGGCTTACCAGTTGTAACAGCTGGAGGTGCAGGATTCAAAGTCTTACAAGTTTTATTTGGAAACTCGTCGGCTTATATCCATACAACAAACATTAAAAAATGGGATATATGTGCTGGACATGCTATACTAAAAAGTATAGGAGGTGAAATGACATCGTTGGAAAATGAAGATATTACGTATGAAAAATATACAAGTATGATGCATGTTGGAGGAATATTAGCAACTGCACGTGATCATTTATATTTTATAAATGCTCTAAAAAATGGAAGAAGTGATTGAATTATTAAATAATAGGTTTGTAAACTTATAAGTTTTGAATGTAAAACGTTAAGACAATAAAGTTATAATTTTCATTAAAATGTATCTTTTAATTTAGGTTTGTTTTAATTTGTATTTAAAAGTACATTTAAGTTAATTAAATACAAGTATGTTTTATTTTCATTTAAATTAGCTGGTGATTATTATTATTCAATTATCCAAAAATCATCATAATATTTATTATTTACTATTTAAAAGTGTTCTACATAAACCAAGATATTTCTTATACAATAAATTAAAAAGCCATAATATTAGAATCAAATATTAAATGTTTGAATAGTGTGTCAAAAATACATTTATTGATAAATATGATTTATACATTTTTAGAAAATGAAGGTACTCTGTAATTGTGGATGGATATATTAATGCTGGTAAATAAATTTTAGATATATAAGGTTAGTATACGTTCATGAAATTGACCCACCTACTATACAATACTCAAATATAAATACCAAAGTTTAGTAAATAACTAGCAAATATTAGAAAATTTACTGCAGAAATTAGCAAATAATATGTTGGGGAGTTGTAGCGCTTTTTTAGAAAGTTGAGCCAAGTTCAGGTAGCCTACCCACAAACAAGCACCGGTAGTTTGCAAATAATAGCATATCTATTTTTGAAGTAAGCAAATCAAAATTTTAATTTAACCTAGCCAATGATACTGAACAAATAATAATATTTTTTTAAATTGTTGACAGTTTAGAAAAAAATAAATGAATTAATTTTTAATTATGTTAATTTTAATCGAGATAATGCTTATTATATAATATCAATCGATATACCTACTCATAAGTACAGTATCTTTATTCTTGCTTATATAATTGTTGTTATATTTAATCATTTGTAGATTAAGTTATAAAAATTAGTTGAGAAAAAAATTGAACTGGCAAAATTAAGAGTGAATTGAATACGACTATACGAGTACCCATATTCACTTTGCCCGTAAATAATAATACAACAAATATAAAATTAACTAACGGAAAATCGTATTTCATTTTTTTGGTGTTACTCAAAAATTAATTAAATAATAAACGTAGTTAATATTGACGAATAAATCTCCGTAATGAATTATGAAGAAAAAATATGAAAACAATAGGTAGGTACCATGGATTTTGAAAATATTATGATGCCATGACTTTGATAGGTATATATTACATATAATATTACCATAATTTATGTATCTTACCGACAAATATATATTATTTTCCTATTCAACTCGAATAACTCCATTATAATCTCAGTCAAAACTTGTAAAACAGTAGAAATGTGGTTTCTGTATTATATGATGTTTATTAATAAAAAATATATTTAAAAAAAAAATTCTGGTTTTAACATAACAATATATTTTTACTAGTAAGTATGTCGCTAAGTAATATTTTTCTTATTGAATATACTTATAACTATAATATGTACATCGTTGTTGATTTATTACCAAACATTCTTGAACTCCATTTTTTGTATTTTACTAAGGAAAAAATATAAACTTGTTAACAATAGTTAATATTTAGTTATTTGTTCAAACTAAACATGAGTAATTACCAGGAAAACATTAAATACTTAATCCAAAGACCGAAAACACCAGTGATCAAACCTTCGATGCATCGTTCAATGTTTAATAATTCTATTCGAAGGGAATTCAAATTAAATAAGGGTTGTCACCAAACGATGGGTTATGCTGAGGTCAAAGTCAATGAACCGTCTGAGTTTTTAAAAAAAAATTCCAGAAAAGTTATTAGACCATTTGTCGGTAAGATACATAAATTATGATATTATATATAATATATACTTATCAAAGTCATGGCATCATAATATTTTCAAAATCCATGGTACCTACCAATTGTTTTCATATTTTTTCTTCATAATTCATCACGGAGATTTATTCGTCAAGGACTTTGAAATTTGAATCTTACCAATTTAATGTAGGTCATTTATTATTTTTTGGCTGGGTAATCTTTAGAAAATGTTAAAACAAGTGCCAGAAATCCAGTTCAGTGTCCATGTTACCCTAATAAACTGTTACCAAAAAAAGAAATTTCGAGAAATTTTTTGCTTGAAAACTTTGTTGATGTGGTAAGAAAGGTACCACCATTGCCGAAACATCGGGTACAAGACACTCGGAACGGACACACTATGGTTCTGGATGAAGTCGGCTTAGAGCCTTTGTACGTGTTAAAGAAGGTACTTCTATGAGTCGATTAAATAAAAAAATCATTTTAATAACCATTTTTATTATTATTATTAAAACGTTATTTATATTAATTGGTGATCATATTGAAATATTACTTTTTTTAATAAACGTTTTATGCTATTGGAGGATTTCGGAAAATTACCTTTGTATATCAAAAAAAAATTCAAAAAAAACGAAACCGACAAGCGAATAGAGATAGAACGGATACAAGCAATCAAACCGCCATTGCGTCATTTATCCGAAGAAGAGCATCATACGTTATTAACAGTGAGTGTGTTAAATTCTATTATTTATAAGCTTTTTTCTCATGTTTTTGACTAGGGACTAAAAACCAATTGGGCTGAATTGTACAAACAATTTTTGTTGTTGCCGATACTTACCGATTCAATGACAAAAATCAATCGGAAAACCAATTTGGAAAATCAATTAAGAAACTTGGAAAAAGATATCGACCTATTGGAAAGGCACGTGACTTTATATGTGTGTGATGAAGACGTTTAAGCTTAGTCGTTTCCTTAAGAGAACTTACCTTTCATACATTAGAAAGGTACCTAACTTATTAGAATTGTCATGTTCATAAATCATATTATCGTTAGTAGTAAGTATTCACCACAATACACTACACTTTCTATTGTACTTATCTCGAAAAATAGTTTTGTAACTTGAATAAAAATGTACAACTCAAAAAACAATGACTTTATTTGATGTATACAATTAATTATTAATATTTTAATTATTTATTAACATTGTCGGTTAGAATTTAAAGAGTCTTAAAATAATAAGGTAATGTCTTATGTATTTAATAATAATTATAAGCCATCATAATAAATAAGACATTTTATAAAAAATGTATACCTGGCCACTTAGGCACCTTTAATATACATAGAAAAACTTGAAAATTGCCAAACTTAAATTTAATCTTTGTGTGCAATACTATAATATTATAAAATGTCTATATAAAGCTATAGAGTATAGTTATTTTATAGTAGGTCTATAATTAAATATAATTTATAAAATACCTATTGTATTATTATAACCCATTACGTTAAAAAAAAAAAAAAAAAATAGTAAAACGTTGACGATTGTGTAAGAGAAGTTAGAGATAACTATACATCTAACGAGTTTTGTTAATTAGTCTCGGCTTTTAATTTTAAAAACATACAACTTCGATTGAACTGCTACAAATTGGATCAAAGATCAAATTAATATCATTTAAAACTATAAAAGTATATGTATTACGCGTATATCATGTGCATATTTAAGTATTATATGTATACAAATAATATATATGGGTACAATTTGATGTGAAGTATGGAAGTATGTACTATGTAGTATGTACCTACAACTAAAAATATTGTACACTATTCAATAATTTCAACATAACTTTTCAGTTTTTACTCCGTTTATTGATCCAAAGTTTATTGATAATTATTATTTAAATATTTTGTTGTAATAATATGTGTTTTATTTATTTTATATAGGTAGGTACAACAAATATTTATAAGCTTATTAATAAATCATCAGATTTAGGTAGGTATAAGTAGTTAAAAAAACCGGAGAAGTCATTTTGGTAAATTGTATCTGAACATTACTACTACTTATTAGGTAGGTGGTCGAATATAGGTACTTGTCGTTGAGTAGGTCATTGCTGTAACAGATGTTTTAAATTTAAATTCAATGATAAATTATTACAAATGAAAAACGATACTGATACATTCAGCCTAAGGATATATTATTTATTATCTAGCTATAGTAATATATTTATATTGCTATTGGTAGTTTGTTTTTCTATTAGTAGGTATATAATACACTAATATGGTAGCTTCAATTAATTTTTGACAAAAACAAATTTCGTATGTACTGTACCTATATAATATATAGTATAATATTTACTATCTATTATTATTTTACTGTTGTTAAGCTAATAGTTATAGGCTTACCGTATACAACTGCAATATGTTGTATAAATACTATGAATATTAGTCTAAATATTTTAAAAATATCATTGTATTTATAAAACGATAACTTAATAAGTAATAATAAAGTGTACCTAATCTTTTTAGTATCTAACTACATTTTACTTGCTTATTTTTTAAATAATATCAAAATTAAAAAAAAAAAAATTGTTTATAGTTTGGTTAAAATTTATATTAATATGTAAGGTTGTATAACAATACAATGTACACGTGATTATTTCAAATTTGAATTACACCAAAAAACTAAATAGATTTCGTCAAAAACATTATGTGTACAAATTCCAGTTTTTTCTTAATTTTTTATTTATTTTTTTTAATTACATATATTTAAAAATACTTATAAAAAATTTTTAGTCAACAATACCAATATTAATTTTAATTATTGGAGACAATTTTGTATCTATTGCTACGTTTTCAGTAAGCAACTAAGTGTCATTAACAACTATAAAGTTAGTCACTTGGTTACATATAGGTACCTATATCTTACAAAAACTCCAATAGGCTATTTAATTAATTTATATTGATTTGATTAATTATAAAGCATTGGTGAGGCAATTCCTTTTAACGATTATCAATTCAATCCCTGATTGTAGGTAACTATAAATTAGCTCACAAATATTTTATTTGCCGTAAATTTTGATTAATAATAAAAAAAAATATTTGTTCTCACAGAGTCAATCAATTGAACATTTTTTCTTACTGCATCGTACAAACAAAGAATTACAAATAAAAGTCTAATATACCTAATAAAGTATGCGATAAACAAATATTTTATATATTATTATAGTATTAATAAAATTACGATAAAACTATTAAGTATTCCTATAAGTATTTTTACGTCTTATAAAGAATGTATTATTTGTTAATAATTTTTATTTTTGCCAATATTTCAATATTCAATAGATATAGAAAAGTAAAAAGGCACGAAAATTAATACATTTAACACACTACTTATGAAAAAAGTCTGGACTGAATAAGGTTCTTCTATTCTCCTAATAAAAGTTCTTTTTTATTTAAATATTTATATTCTATACAAAAAAGATAAACTACACTAAATTGTGCTACAGTTTTGAAAAAAAGAGTGTGCTAATCCATAATTACCTACTTACTAAAAGTCACTTTCAGTTTAACAACAAGGTTTTATTATTATTATTTTAATAGTAAATGAAAGTTATTTATTCATTTTTTGTATTTATTTCTTTTATTTCATTAATAAATTATAATAGTTCTATTATCTGTGACAAAAGTAATTATTGAAATACTTACCAAATAAATGTTATTAGTATTAAATAGCGATACAAGTGAGTAATTTGTAATAAGTTTCACTTCCACCTATTTATATGCATTATATATTTTATATAATACGGTACCTATAGAATATGTTATAATATAATGAATTCATTAAACAATTTTAAACATATAATAGGTACCTATTATATATTTGATATATACAGAAAATATAAACATATTAATATTTATATATATATACATAGATATTGGACTGTGCAGACTGTACGAGCGATAACAAACGACAAACAATATATATAAGTATATAATGAGTGGAAATTGATTTAAGTATTTGAGAGGGGGAAATTACTTTAATTTTGTTAGTCAATCAACAGCATTTTGTCATTTCGTTTGCAGCATTGCACTGAACACTACACCAGTTGTTATATGAATACCTCCTACCTAGGTACATGAGGTTGCATTTTTACGATTGCTGCAGCGTTCCGAAAAAGACCATAAAAATCAAACAATATTATTTAAAACAAAATAACGTAAAAACGAATTATAGTTATTAAATCAAACATAATTTAATTTTTTTGTAACAATTATTTGTGTGATTTATTCTCGTATTGTGTTTCCAAAAAATTCTGTGTCGCACGATTTATTCAATACCTGTTATTAAATAATACCAAGTACGAGTAAGTAATCAGTTATAGCCATATATATTTCTTAATAGTTTGAACATAAATAAGATACTGTTTTTTTTTTTTATTAGTTTAACAATCTAATGAAGTATCATATTACTATATAATTCTATTATAATATGTAGCATGTACCTACTATGTATAGCGTATATATGACTATACCTAAAGATCAAATTAATTATTATAATTTAATATGCATTATACATATTAAATAAATTATAACTACCTATTATCAACAAGGTGATAAATATCAAAATAAAAATAAGGTATTCTTATTATATGTGCGTGATTATAAATATATACTCGGAATGTAATTTGACCATTAAGCATTAGATTTCTACATACGAGTATTTTAAAAAATACTTTAAATTATAATGATAAACAATTATTACTAAAAAAAAAAATAATTAAAAATTTATCCTTTACTGTAGTTTTTTAATACCTATCTAGCTGATGTTCAATAGTAATATTTATACAACACCGATAATTATACGTAGTTACCTATTTATAAAATTTAATGAATTATTATAAACTGTTTTTAATAGGTACTTGCTCTAATTGACTTGTAATTTTATTTTACATTTTTTCTATTTATGATTTTGTTATAACAAATAGGTAAGTAATTATATGTATACATTTTTATATTATATTTTGTTTAATGAAAGCTATTTTGAATAATTCAATAATATTTCTTTTAAATGTAACTTCCAATTTTGTTAACATATTTAAAAAAAATTCAATGATACGAAATGATAAAAAAAATAAAGTCAACGACAAAATAGGAACTGAGTATTAACCTCCAGTTTTTGTTCCAGTACTCAGTTGTTCATTAAATTATTCTAGTTCCAGTTGAAAAATGTTAATTATGAGGATTAATGTATATTACAAAATGTATAATACAAAAAACAGTTCCAATAATTTACGTAGTTTTTTTAAATTTACTCTGTCTATATTTGTAAATATTTGTAAAATGGTTATCTAAATAACAGCAAGAGTATAACCGCAAGACAACATTCAACCCCGAAGTATATAAAAATTTATTCCCGAAATATTTTATAAGCTATATGCCATATGATCATATTATGGTTTACCATCGTGATATGTAAGATATTATATATATATATACATATATATATGTATATATTGTATAGATACAGAAATATAAAGTTAAAATAAAATCACATAGGGGCCATATGATTCTTTTTGTACAACCCTGTGGACTTGAAAAATAAAGTCAGTATATATTAACATATACTATATAATATCTAAAAAATACTTACATAAGTATCTGGAATTGATAGTAGAAATATAATAAAAACAATAATCAATTTTGTCAAAAACTGCTGTTACTTATATTATACTTGTATTTATATTACCTACTATTTTTTGTAATTTTTTTCCGCGATTATTTATTTGATTTTTATTTCTGATATTCCAAATGATAAACTACATTAATTAAAAACCAACATCCTTCCTTAAAATTATTATTTTTGTTTTTGTAACTGTGTGTAAAACCAATACAATTATTGTCCCAGTAAAAATCTTAAACCTATTTTGTTTTTTTTTCAGATTATTATTATTTTTGAAAAATGAAATTCATACGTTGTGTATTTTTATGTGTTGTTTTTTGGAGTTCCTCATCACTTGGTTTTAAAAATATACGCGTAGGTTTAGGTGAACCAAATCCACCGTTAACTAAAAACGCGATCGATGTTGAAGACAAATGGTTTATACAAAAACTAGATCACTTTAATCCTACTGATAATAGAACATGGAAA